TTCCATGTAGTCAAGAATCCACCTCAGTTCGTCTTCAGGGGACATGAGCATACCCTCATGCTTTCGAAGTTGAGGACGTGGGGGTCGATGTTTGGGCGTCAGGGAGTTGACCACCTTGAAGTAGCGTCGGGTGTCGTTGGTGGACCAATGATGCCTGGCAGTATCAATGGTGTCCTGAAGTTTCAGTTTTTTCGCTTCCCTGGCCGATTTGGTGGCCGCCCTCCGCCATCTTTGAATCCGAGTCACTCGAAGCCAAGAGCCAAAAATGTGCTCCTGCCTGGATGAGTGGTGAGCCCGCTGAGCAACATCAGGAAGATGTAGCCGGGATAGTGTAGAGGCCCAGGACCAATAATTGGTTGTTGAAGGTTTGTCAGACCGCCCAGATGGCTGGAAAGAGAAACACGCATCCATCATGACCTGGTTGAGAGCCTCCAGATTTGGTGAATGATCCCGAAGATTGTCAATTCGGTTGCCCAGGTCTTGACGCCAGTGGTGCCAATCCAGACTCTGAAGTTGCCAGTGCCGTTGAAGAAGATCTTGTTGGATCCTGTTCAGGCCCGAGGGAGGTTGCTTCCATCCCCTCCATTTGTAGGGAAGATTGAACAGAATCGGCACATGATCTTTGGTGTGACCAAACTTGCCTGGGAGGTGTTCCAGGTAGATAGGTTTCTTCGTGATGGAGTCACTAGTTTTGTGTCGGACCATGACATAGTCAATCCGAGATAGATGCCCCAGGCCGCCCCGATAGGTGGGACCAAGCGAGATGTCCCAGGTGTTGATGGCCATGAGCCCCCTCCTGTGTAGAATGTCAGCCAAGAGATGTGCATCCTGGTGTTGAGTCCCAGAAAGCCGCCCCCGTCGGCCTTGGAAGTCATGAAGTCCTACACAGTGCGGGGTCCGAGGCAAGCTGCTATTGAAGTCACCGGCCAGGATGACCACATTCCGTTGTGGAAGACCTGCCAATAGGCCATCCAAGGCGCCCAGAAGTTCGAAGCGTTTGTCCCTGCATTGCTGGTCAGATCCAGTCCATGGATGCTGGTAGAAGTTGACCAGGTCAAGGCCCGTGGAGTCAAGGTAGAGCCGGGCATGTAGAAGCCGCCCTGGAGTAACCTCTCTCCAGGAGAGCCGATCTGGAGGGCAGAAGGCCTTCCGGATGATGGTCAGTAGCCCTCCTGCTCGATCTTGAGATCCACTGTGGATATATGCAAAGGTGTTGTCAGTCCAATCACCTGTGAATCCCCACCGTGTGTCTTGAAGTTGAATTAGGTCTAGTTGCTGTTGATGCAGCCATTGCCGGAGGATGTCAAATTTGTAGGTCCCCAGGGAGCCGATGTTCCAGCTGAGTCCTTGAAGCCTGTTCTTCCGTAGTTTGGCAGGTGGTGAGGAATTAGGTTGCCCCAAGGAAGTCTGTGGAGTGTCAGTGACCTGCCAGGGAAGTGGAGTGACTCCAAGCATCTGGGCCGTATAGAGCTTCCCTTTGTACCATGTGTGCCCGTGAAGCTGGGCCCGCTTGAGCGCACGAATGTAGGATTTCTTCTTGGGAAAGTGCTGGCAATTGTCCAGACGTTGGTGTGTGGATCCAAGGCCACTCGGCTTTGCCGTGTTGGTTTGCTGAATGGCAAAGGTCTTGTTGGCTTCACCGGACCATGTGGCAGGTCCGGAACCCTCGGGCCACCAGGGCATGGCGTTGGCATTGAGCTTTGTCATATAGTCCTCGAGGAAGAGCCCAAAGAGGCAACCGAGGAAGAGGAGGTATATGCCAGCCCTGGCTGGGGACTTGAGACCCCAGCTAGCTCCAACCGTAGGTGCAAGGACCTGGGAGGTGGTTCTCGTGGTCCAGAATCTTTGTCCGCTCAAGGAAGAGGTGATCTGGTAGTTCACAAAGGTTCGAAGGACGAACAGGTTAATCGCCTGAAAAAGGAAGACCACAGTCAAGATGACCTTACCGGCCTCGGGGACAGTCTCAGGGTGAGGCCCTTGAGGAAGTCCACCTGGTTGCCGGGTAAAGAGCCGGTAGAGGTGGTCAAAAACTCCAGGCTGACCATGAGCGGGGAGAACCGCACAAGCCCGCACCTGATGAAGGTGTAGGGCTTGAGAGCTAGTGGCCCTTATCATCATCATCATCATCATCATCATCATCATCATCGTCAGCACGGGCACCATCAAGAACATCACTGTCACTGTTACCATCATCATCCCCAGTTGTGGCTCCCAGTGAGGGTTGGCTACCCAAAACATTTTGGGTAGCCGACCTCCAAGTGGTGTTTGTTTGGGGGTGGCCAACGTTGGTTGGTAGGCTTTGTGCAGGTGGGGGTGTGCACCTCAGCCTCATAGATGGGCAAACGCTTGTACGGTTTCTAGGAATTAAGGTTGGCTACTGTAGATAGTGAGAGGACATCACTAAGGAAGACCGCGAGCACCTGAAATGGTGATGCTTTACTTTCAAAAATCCAGCAATCTGCCGGTAAGAATGCTAAGAGCTCAGCAAAGCATCATTCGTTGAAGGCAGTGCCAGTTATATGGGAACTGTTAGCAGTGAACTCTGTCTCTGAGCAAGCTACATACTTTTTTTCCTCAACCTGCCTGGATACTGTATCACTTTCGGATGAGGCGATGTGAGAAAGGATCTATCTGAATGCAAACAAACAAAAGGCGCAATAGCAAAAGCCCACCTTGGATTAAAAGAAATTTATGGGCATAATTTGGAGCCAGATTTAGCGATTATTGATGCCAAAATGGCCTTAATATGTTCTTCATTTGTCAACCCTTAGCTACCCTACATTAGAACGGAGCTTTTGGGAGCCAACCCCGAATCAGATTAAAACTATTTAGGCCAACATACCCTTGATTTGATCTTCGTTTCTCAACCCTTAGCTACCACCAATTAAATTGATGGAGTCCATCCCCTGTTTCTGAGTCATCACTTATTGTCTTGTTAGGAACCAACCCCGGCACCCCCATGCGCAGCAAGCATGAAGCGCATACATGCAGGGGCAACACCTAGGTTCCTCACATCTACACTGTATATACATACGAGTTTTGTGGTACAGGTGATACAGGTGGTGCAGGTTTTGAGATACAGGTGATACAGGTGTTGAGGTACAAGTGTTTCCAACTACAAAATCGAAATCTGCATATGTAATTCCTCTCAAGGCCGGGCTGACGCGAAACGAAACCCTCTGCGGAGATCGTGCATGTCGGATGCGCCACACTGTGGTAATATGCAAACCATCGTGCGCCGCGAGGAACCCTCTGCTGAGATCGTCGATTGCGCGCACGTGTGGCAAAATGCGAATTTTGGTCGTTCGTGGGCGCACCCTCTGCGGACATAGTGTGCGTTGATTGCGCGAACCTGTAGCGACATGCAAATTTTTTGGGGCGTATATGCACGATGACGAAGCGCCAACGTCGCCCACGCCCACAGCAGTTAGACTCACGCCACCTAAGCGACGCGTCCTGCAAAACCTCACTGTGTCCGGACCCCTTGCGAGTTGAACGGCCAGGCACCAAATTCAGTCAAAAAGAACATGCCTTAGTGAGCAGACAAATCCTGTGCATCGCTTTTCACGGTTTTTTTGCACTGCTTTGCACGCGTGTACCTTGGACCTTTTGCTAGCGCCATGTCCACCAAGTAACTGCAGGCAGTTGACCACCGACATTGAGCTTCGCGCACAGGATCCGCCGCAAAATAGAGAACAACATGTCCTTTCAAATTGTTACTTTATGTTTTGGCCGCCGTTCTTTTGGCCGCTTCAGCAAAACGATATGTTTTTGGGGGTCACCTTTCAAAGCCACCTTTTATGGGGATGTGGGGATGGGAAGGTTCCGGCGCGCACTAACAGCCTTACGCAGCTCTCTGGGCATAGACAACTTCGGAAGGCCAACATCACAACAGGGACATTGCCAAGCACCTTGTTCCTTAGGTATCATTTTTGATGGCACAACGGCCGGTGCGTCATGTGATTTGACCAAACAGGCGCTAAAAGGGACTTCAGAGCATCCTTTCTCTTTCTAGACACAGTTTTGGGAAGATCGTGTGGAGGGAAGGGGTGCGAATATCTGATTTCGATGATCGGGCACAGGATCCGTGAACCAAGCTGTGAAGAGAAGGCGTACTCACGCTGTTTGCCCCAGCACCTTTCAGCTCATCTCCCTCCAGAATCTCACTTTCAGCAAGCCATGCGTGAGGCAGGGGTTGGGTGTGGTTAGGGGGAAGCACCATAGGTTTACAATGTTTCGCCCCAACAGCAAAATTGTGTTTATTGACAGCCGGAGCCAGGGTATATCTTTTGACCCGGTCACCATCTTCTCTGAACACTATCAGTGGTGTGCCCGGCTTCGCTGAAGCGCAATGCCATCAATCCAAGTGTCTGGTTTCAACATGTTTCAACCATTTCTCAACATTTTTTGGGACATCCACCTTAGCCCATCTTTTCCGGAGACACATCTTTATCCTTGGCCATCAGGTGAGCATACAATCGCCGATGCTTCCGTATATGTTGAGTTGCCTGACCTCTAAGCCATGCCGCTTCTCCTTTGCCTAGATCAAATCCAGTTGGCAAAAACATGTTTTGCCTGCGCCTGCGCACTAATTACGTCAGAACTTGCGACTTGGTGTGGCCAAGTTACATCTGTGATGTCGCTGTGCCATGCGCTTTTGCACGACATCGTGATTTCGGGGAAGATGTTCTGGAAGCTTTAGCGGCCATGAACGCAGAACAATGTCTACGTGAAAGCTTTTCTGGCCTTTTTGCATGAAGGCATGTGGAAGTTCAGTTTCTATCCTGCAGAACACTACCGCGACCATGATGATGCCATCGCAATCCTGCAGTTATACATCCATGGCTTTCATGCAGCGCTGATCATGACGGAAATCTAATTACGTCAACCCGTCGTCTAGTTCTGTTTTTCTTCTTTGGTTCTTCTTCTTCTTCTTCTTCTCCTCCTTCTTCTTCTTCTTGTCTTCTGCTTTGTCGCCACTCTCTCCACAGCCGAGGCTCGCAGTGCATCGCTGCAACACAGCCATCAGGTCTCCAGGCAGAGGCGATGAAGCCGAATAAGGCTGGCCTGGATGGAAGGAATGGCCAGGAGACTTGATACTTTGGACTTGGGAGGGGCAAGAAATCCAAAAATGCGGCCTGAGATGTGCTAAGTAGTATCGCTGGACAATTCATCACCTGCTGCAAAACCCTACCACAGGTGTTGGCCCATGACATGGAATGGGTGACAACATAACCAAAGGATCAGTAGTGAGTTTGGCAAAGGCATCAGAAAGCAAGCGCACAAAAAAACAACATGATTCCTAAACTTCCTCAAAATGCACAAGCAGTAGTGTTTGAAGCACTCACTCATGATACTGGGGCAAGCTGCCACAAGTCTACGAGAAGGCGTTGAACCGAGTTGGTGCTAGAGACTGGGTTGTGTCGACCTCCGGTTGGGTGCACCCTATGGCAAGCTGCTAACATCAGAGCCCCCTGCAGCCCTGTCTCCGACTGACATACAGCTGTCAGTATCCTACGCCCAAAGTGGCCGAATCCAAATGGGCCTGCAACTGCGAAGGTCAAGCGGTACCTTGGATTACAGAAAGCTCTTGTTTCTGCTGCTGTTCGTGCTCCTATGATACAAGTTGGTAAGTCTTCGAAAGATATGAAAAAGATTCAGGGCAGGGAAAAGTGCTTATCTCATCGTGTGAACCACCACCAGGGTCCACACCTCTTCTTCTGCCGACGTCTGCTTGCGCGGGTGATACTTGCTGCAGGGTGTTTCCGAGGTCCCTCGTGACGGTACTCGTGACAGTCCTTTTCGGTCACCCTCTCACGTCCGGCGAACGGTCCGGCCCCGAAGGGTCCCAGGTCTGGCACGTGTGTATCCTCGGTCACCTTGAGAGTCAAAATCTGAGATTGATGTCCAAGTGTTGGGACTCAGAACTTTCAGACTTTGTGCCTGTATAAAGTGAGGACTTGTCGAAAAATAATTACTTATATATTTCATAGAAGGCGCCTTTAGTTGACCCTGGCGCCATTTCCTCTCCCCTCCTCCCACCCAGTTGGCCCGAAGCGTCTCAGCTGGGAGGCCGATGCAGAAAGTTTCTCGAGCACCGTTGCTCATCCCGCAGCTTGGTCTCGGTGGCCTGAGATGACGGCCACGCAGCGGGCAAAACGGATGTCCCGCAGTGAGAGACTCGGTCCTGCCACGGGGATCTGCCAGGTCAACCGATCTAGCTGCATGGAGATGGAAATGAGTGGACTCGTAAAAGGACAGAGGAATCAGCAACCGGGAAGTAATGCAAGAAAATGACCGCTTGGCCCAAGTATATTATATATACCTATATAACACAACTTGAAGTGCAAACCTCGTCGATAATCTATATCTGTACTGTGTCGGTCTTTCTCTGTGCGTCACAAGCGCGTCTATTGCCGCTGCGGCTTCAGTCTTTGCACCTGTCCTTTTGACACTGTGCAAAGGTTGAGCATCAAACCCCACCCTCCAGTCTTAAAGAGTCTGGAACTCAGAACCACGTGGTTCCAACGTCTGCTCAAGGCTGGGCTGGAAGGAGCTTGGATCGTTAAACACGGAGCTGCTCGCATGTTGCGCACAGAGCCGCTGTGGAGGCAACAAGAGGCGACGGAGACAAACAGTGGCCTCATATTAGTGTCCGTGGCTGGGTTTCAATTTCAGCCTATTGACACTGACACGTAAACACTTTCCTCACTGTCAATTCCTGTAGCATCTTGAGCCTCCAGGCACGGACAGACTTAGTCCGGCGTGCCTAATCTCTTCCTATATTGACTACTCCTGGGCGGTTCCAGGGGCACATACTCCGGCGGCGGGCCCCAGCCAGCTGGCAAGGGTGAGTTGAAGACAAACGTGCTGCCTGGCTTGTACCTCCACGATCCGGGGCGTCATGCTGTGTGTGTGTGTGTCAAGGCATTCCCGTCAACTCATTGCTTCAAGAAAAAACCGTGCAGAACAAATCACACGCCCCTCATGTAACAATCCCCCTCGAACAAGCGTGCGCAAGCTGCTCTCGGATCCGCTGGATGTGGCTCATCTCTGCCCGTCGCATTCCTTGGAGTGGTCTTCTACAGGGTAAGCCCGGGCTTGTGAAAACTCAAGCAGCTGAACCCTTGGTCGGCTCCAGCAAGGACCAGGCTAGACCAACAAACATACAATGCAGCTGATGGAGATCCTACTACTTCTTTGACTCGATCACCAGTCTCTCCAAGCCTGCTGTGTCTGCTCCACATGAAGTGAAACAACGAAGCAAAGCGAAAGCAAGTAAGGCAAGGTCACGCCAGAAAGCAAGCAAAAGGGTCAAGTTTAGGCTACATGGGTTGGTAGGTGAGTGGTGGGAGCAAGCAATCTGCACATGTAGGTCCTATCTAGGTCCTACGTTGTCCTACGTAGGTCCATTTACAGTTCACCTTCACCCCAAAGCAATGGTTCAGCCTAAGCTCGAGGACTTGCGCCAAGCGGTGCTATGGCATTCAGCTTCGACTGCACATGCAGCCGCCGCGCATTCAAGGCCTTCTGCATTCGGTAGGCTGTCCACTCCACTTTGGTGATGCCCAACTCTTGCCAGGTAAGCCTGGGAGGAATAGGCAGAGCAAAAAAGAGGTCTTCATCCAAGCTCAACTCACTCAACACATGCTGTGCGACCAAGGCACATGGTTCTAGGGTGGGTCAAGGTCCGGAAGAGTTGTCGTGCCTCGCCGTGGCGACAATACTTGAGGATCTGGGCCACTGCTGCCTGGAACTCTGCCTGGCTGCTCACCGAAGCAAGGGAACGCCGCAACCGGGAACGGGAAACCCTTAACACTATGCAGGCGTCACAGGGCAATGCGTCGCACTCCTCATCCTCTATATTGCTGTAGATGGAATGTGACACCCTGACAATGGGTACCTATGTACATGACATGTTGGAAGTGTTCCATACATAGTTCATCTAATGTACTTGGATGATCAGTCGCACGTCAGCATGCGCATGAGTACATCTTTTCTACTTGAGAGGCACCGGACTTGCCAAACTCTCAATGAAATGGCATACCAGACCTGAGAAATATTTAACTCATCTGTGCAAACAAACTGCCAAAAAATGAACGAATATATACATATATAAGGGTACAACGTCGTTCCTCGTGGATTGTGGTTGGATTAGGTACAGAAATCAGTTTTTGGAAAGCAAAGTGGCGAAGCAATCTGCCCGGATTGACTGCATCCAAGTCACCAGAGACAGCTCGCCACTTTTGTTAGCATCAATGGCCTCAAAGGCCTTTGGCAACGAGCCAAAGGTCTTGATCAAGTATACCCGGAACTTTTGAGCCTCCTGACGAGGTGTGAGGAGCTGCAGGCAGTACGTTTAGCAGTAATGATCTGATTTGTGAAATGAACATGCGGAGTATTCTGCCAAATCCGCCCAGCCGAATCCGTCCTCCTCCCAGTCCACTGACACCCTGTGGGAGTACTCAGACTGATCGAATGAACGGCTTGGGTCCAAATGCCTTGCCGTTAAGAAGGGATCTCGATTCACCCAGTGCACTCCAAGGCGTCTTCGTTCGGCCTTTTTTCTCTTGGTTTGCTCCCAGCTCTGTAGGAAGACAATATCCTGGCTCTGGACCGAATACGCGCTTCTCAAAAAAACACATCGAGGACATATATGAGTTGTTCTCTAAATTGATTGTTTGGGGTGGTATTCATTCAAAGGTAACATGTCCCGTATCGTTGTGCAGCGTTTCGCACACGGATGCCGTGGGCATTGGTTTGCAGAGTTCGCAGATTGACCCCCAAGGACATAGGACGCACATGACAGCAGAGTTATCGTTTTTGGGATTTCCCGTGTCGCTTTCCACGGAAGGCTCCAAACCACAGTCTTGGATGAAACGTCCGTGTGGAAAGTGCATGACAATAATTTTAGTTAACTCTCATGTGGTCGTTAATTTGTTCTATTGAAAGAGGCCACATAAGAATCATTTGAGGAGAATCTTTGAGGAGAATCATCCATAATCCCACATCCAGTCAGTGGATGACATCCGGTATCTTCACTGTCCTCCAGTGCCAGATTTCGGCTACCTCCTCGGAGAAGAAGATATTCGAAGAGTTCTGTGACCTTCGGTAGAACAGCGTGAACAACATCTGATTCAACAAAAATGCATTGAACAGAGAGATCACCCACTTTCGACAATCGTGCCTCCTCTTCATCCTCATAGCCCAAGGACTTGCAACCTTCGATGAACATCGGTAGGCCAACCACATTGCTGCGGTCCTTGTCCATCACAACCTGTCCAACACCCAGAATCATAGTATCGGGTAGCAAATTCCGAACTCTAAGTGAAACCAGCCAGGAGACACAATGCCCTGTGACAAGATTTTGCCCCGAGTCGCTCAAAATTGTGTTCAGAAAAGATTTGCGCACTCCGATCAAATGGCAATGACCACATGCACACTCTGGCATGGCAGCTCATCGACTAACTGCTCCCGTAGCCACAGCCCACTCATGTCCAATCTAAACATCTCAATGCACTGGGGGACCCTCAGGAGTTTGTACATGAAACCATCTCCTCAACATGTGCATGTCTGTATGAGAATGTCACGATCAAAGTCAAAGTCTACGATACACAGACTTAGCCAGCACAAGCCGCAGCCTGCTTCAGAACAGTTGGCAGTGCCGACCGGATACAAAAAGGAATTCGAGTCGTATCCAAGAGATGCAAATCACACGAGCACCGCATTCAAAGAAGGCATGATATAGAGCTCATTTACGCCGCGGAGCTCATGATCAACATGGAACCTTGGGAACCAATGGGTTGTATTCCATGTTAATCTTGCCCGGTGTAGATCTTCTTTCCACCAGAACTACAACGCCACGTCAAACCAGTGTCACAGCAGGCCAGGCCTTCCACATGTGCTGTATGGATTCATGATGCATCAAGCTCATGACCCGAAACTTTTCCAGCGATGCAGCTGCTTTGGGATCAAGTTCATCAAAGGAGATACTGCCTGAGCAAAACAAAACTCCGACTGTTGCAACACAAACCGGAGTCGGGTGCCTGAAACATTGCGCCGGTGCTGCTAGCGTCAGTCTGCTGTACGACGACTCTTTTTCATGATGAGTTCAGACCCACACGTGTCGCGACTGCCTGCGTTTCCACCATCAAGCAAATGCCACAGGGTGCGGATGTTGCCCACGTAGCCCAGTCTACGAAGTGCCTGTTTCAGCTTCTGGCAGGGCTTCGAAAGCACGACCACAACATCCTCTATCCTAATTCTTGGCTCAAATCCCAAACCGATTCGCCCACGTTTCCCCAACCGAAGGGTTCGCTTCGAACAACGGGGTGCTGCCGTCTCACGCCGAGGTCCCGCTGAACGCCCCGGAACGCCTCGCAAAACTCTCGCATGTCGAGCTTGCCACTGCCATCGGCGTCGAGGCCCAAGCGCCAGGCACGAGACAAGGTGCCGAACTTGGAGAGCAACACCTGAAAATATGGCCACGGCCCGGTAATGGCCTTGAACGGGCCTGAATGGCAAACAAGACTTCAGAGCCCGTAATGCATTCGGCCCGGCCATGGCCCTCCAAGTCACCTCTTTGAACTCGTCGACCGCGTTGCCGCCCACGAAGAAGGTACTACGAGTCCTTGAGCCCTCGACCAAGCCGGCCTCCACCAACATGCGCCGGCGTAGGTGAGGACCTGGGCATTTACTCGATGTTTGAAGATTTTTAAGCCCGTGGCCCTCCCTCCTTAATCCTCCTTACTTAATTGAGCAAGGGGTAAGTTCGCTCCTAGACACTAGGACGCTCCTAGCTAGGATGCAGGATAGCTCACGCACGAATCATTTGGTTCCTAGAATTGTAGGGAACTTAACAAGTAGAGTCTTTTAGGTTACTCTCCCACTCCCAGGATCATTTTGCATCATTGCTTTGCTATTTATCCATGTATGTTCAGTATCTCCTGGTTTCCTCACGGCTGTTTTCGAGGCACCGGAGTTCCACCACATGGCGTTGGCGGCTCACATGTGGCATCTCCACGGAGACTTCTTGAGCCGAAAACAGCTTGACGTCCTGACCGGTCTCAGCAACAAAAACAGCTTGGCTTCACACATCTTCAAACGACGACTGGTCTGCTCTATGGCATGGTCCACTTACCAGGTGCACAGGTCTTGGCAAAACAGGCTCCCCGCAAAAAGAAGGAACATCCAAAGACGTTGTCCTTTCAAGTTCACCGCAGCATCTGTTGTACTTCCGTCATGTTCACCGGAAGCTCTGAAGATATAATCACTCTTGGGACCAAACGGTTGGCGACACCACAATCAACTGCAGACCAAGAGCTGCATATTTGCCATCCGTGACCGTCGGGTGGCCGATATGAGACAGGTGCAAGCCTCACATCCAACATTTAGGATCCTCTGATGGGGTTTCTTAGTGTGACCCACTTGCCGCGCTAGTGGGCACTGCAACCCATCTGCATGCATCAAAGTCACGGATTTGATGCATTCGCCCTGTCACCAAGCGAACTGCCACCAAAGACACCGCGCCGCTCAGCATGCAGTAGCTCAAGACTTTCAGCCCTGAGTGTGGGCCACTTCAAGAGGCATGCCCTACCACCACCCCAGTCCACCTTGCGAGAATCGTCTCAAGAGACGTGGCAATGTTTCTACACATCTGACTCACCTCACAAACTGACATGTTTCTTGGAATCAGGGCGAGCAGGGTCATGTCGCGAATCAGCATTTGTTTTTGCAAGCAACGTCAGCTTTGGTCGCATATTTCTGGAACGTTTTAGGGTGATTTGTGGTTCGTTTTGGGACTCACAGTCTTGCAGGCTGGCTCTCAAGAGCACTGCCAAGGAACTGGTGATGGCCACCCTGCCCCTGCGTGTCACAGAGCTCTGGTCACTTCGGCCCCCCTTCAAAGCATGCACCCGCGCCACCACGGCACCGCGAGGCGGGAGCCAGCCATGGGAAAGCACCAAGTACTCCTTGCACTGACAGGACATCCACTGAATCGGTGGCAAAGACCGTTCGTTCCTAGCCTTTCTCTTGGTGGCATGACACAACAATGGTCTTTCTTGTCGTGCTCGACATCAGCTTTTAACATCGAGGCTTTTTCAGCATCATGCCAAGTCACTCGGTGCATCTGGCCTGCAAGACAGGCACACTTGCAATCAATGGATGGCAATGGCAAACCGGTGGCCTGTCTGAAGTTGAAGACGCAAGTCGAAGTACGCGCTGTACGTTTTGGCCACAAGGATCAAGCCCGAACTGGGCACATCCAAACCTGGGATCATGCTCCATCATAGGTGCTACAATAACCAAACAAGTCAGCAGTCATAAGGCAGGCACGGTGTAAAAAGCCTTTGGCATTTGCCGTGTCGCGGAACACTGGCCAGCGACGAACAGGAAAGATTCCCTTCAGGAAGTCTCCCAAGGATGCTTCACCTGAGGTGGAGAAATCGTCTATTCGAGGCATGAAATGATAAAGTGACGCTTTTGTAGGAGATTGCAAAACTGGCACAATGATGAATTTTCAACAAAAAATACCAGACAAGGAAGGAATCCGAAGGATCCGAATTGGGGATGGACAAGAGTGACTAGAGTAACCTAAGACCTGGAGAAGACCGGGATGAGGCGTATGGCCCGCATGGCTGGGTACCTAAATACACCTTCTCCAATGACCTTCGTCGCAATCATCATCGTCGTCATCATCATTGTCATCACGTGTTTGCTTTGGTTCCGGCAGGAACCTTCCCGCGGAGTCCAGAATTCCCCCCTGAGAGGCCATTTTACAAAACTTCCGAGTAAACTCCAGAACTGCTCAGATTTAGGGGAATCCAGTCTGCGAGGACGTGATCCACTGAAGGTGAGCAAGCAAAAAATATCAAACTGGAAAAGGACGACAGAAATCACAGAACGACAGAAATATTCAAAACAGCCGTCGAACGTCGAACATGCTGGGAGGATCTGTCACGTCCCAAAACGACCTATTTTATTCACCATCTGCCGCAGGAGGCTCAACGGAAGGCAATCGAACTGCTAACAAGTGACTGTTTCTATCCGTGTTTGAATCCACTTGCCAATGAGGAGGTTTGCTTATCACAAGCAGATCTTCCAACTCGAGGTGGATCAGAGTCTTGTCAGAAAAGAGGTCGTAGGCCAAGTTAGGCACAGGCTGCCTGCCGGATGCAAACTACAAGCACTGGAGCATGGCAAGCACATGTCATATTATCTTCAACTAAGAAGGGTAACAAGCAAAATGTGTCTGTTTCCCAAATACCCACTTGCGGTTCCTTCCTCGCCTGTCAAGAAGCAAAGCTGACTGCGCCAAGAATTCTGACACTTTGCCCAGCGTCCTCCAATGCCAAAGTCTCTTTGTTTCAGATGCAAATTTGGGGAGGATTCAGAGATCCTTTGCAAAATTATGGACACACAAAATTGTGTGCCAAACTGCTTAAGGGCTTAAGTCAAAAATTATACAATGTAGAAAAACATGTGCGTGGTAGACTCTATGCATGTGTATATGTACGAATATATGTATGTATATTTATATATACAGTATATATATATATATATGTGTGTGTGTTTTGTGTGTGCGCAACATCACACAACCAGTTGCACTCCTTCTGCGTAAGCTTTTGAGGAAGCTGCATGCCCATGACGTCGTCAGAGCAGAGGAGGCAAAGTCCAAAAGAACGCCGCTGTGCCTCTGTGGAATGTTCCCACTCCGTTGACAAACAAGACTAAACTCCCTAGTGGAGCAACAAGTAAGGACGCTCAATCTTTGCTGCTCCAGGCTAATTCTGAACTCGCGCTGGCTCTGGCCGGTTCCGCATAGGCCGGGCTGCCAGCATGAATTGGTGGCACTGTGAAGTGAAAACATTGAAATTCTCCCAAAAGTTGCCTTTCCACTTTCCTTCAGCCTCTTTAGCATCTTTAGCATCCACAGTCACCTTTTTCGAGGCCTTGGGCCCATCGGAGTCGAGGCCTTGGGCTCGTGTTCCAGGTGGTGTTCCGCCGCATACTGACTGCCGGCCGGCATATTGCGACATCTCAAACACTCCCATCACGATATCAACCTTTGTCCTTCACGCCCTCGCACCGGGATTCGAGTCTACCCCGTGCTCCTGTTCCCAGTATCAAGCTCCATTCATGGCTGGTATGTCTGGGTCAGGATCTGGATCATCACCAACTGCCTCGCCCACCTTGGCCACGATGTCAGCAAATGCCTTGGCACCCCGCGTCAGAGTTTTGCGACGTGCTCTCGTCACCAGACCTGCAAAACTGCTGCTGCTGCCTGGCAGTGCCAAGGAAGACCTGCGTGGACTTGG